AGGTGAGACAGGTGAGAGGTGAGACAGGTGAGAGGTGAGACAGAGAGGTGAGACAGGTGAGAGGTGAGACAGGTGAGACAGGTGAGACAGGTGAGAGGTGAGACAGGTGAGACAGGTGAGAGGTGAGACAGGTGAGAGGTGAGACAGAGACAGGTGAGAGGTGAGACAGGTGAGAGGTGAGACAGGTGAGACAGGTGAGAGGAACAGGCACAGGTGATCTCCAGGGTGCTCTCCTCCACCGTGCGCTCGCTGATCAGGCTGCAGGTACGGACAGGTGAGATACCGGTGAGACAGGTAACATAAAGACACATGAGACAGGTGAGAGACAGGTGAGACCGCTGAGACAAGCGCGACAGGTAACACAACCCAGAAAGGTGACACAGGTGACACAGGTGAGCTGCAGGCGCTGCAGCTGGGGCTGTAACCCGCCAACAACCACACAGGTGAGCTCCAGGTGAGCTCCAGGCACTCACCTGAGCCCCCAGGTGAACCCTCACCTACCCGGGTGCTACAGGTGAGCTCCTCACCCCTGAACACCTGCACAGGTGAGCTCCTCACCCCCAAACACCTGCACAGGTGAGCTCCTGACCCCCAAACACCTGCCCAGGTGAGCTCCTGACCCCCTAACACCTGCACAGGTGAGGCTGTAACCCCCAAACACCTGCACAGGTGAGGCTGTAACCCCCAAACACCCGCACAGGTTGCCCAGGTGAGGCTGTAACCCCCAAACACCTGCCCAGGTGAGGCTGTACCTGGCACAGAACCCCCCCGGCGCGCTCACCTGTAGATGTGGACGTCGCGGGTCTGGCCGATGCGGTGACACCTGTCCTGGGCCTGCCCAGGTACCCAAACCACCCCAAACACCTGCACAGGTACCCAAACCACCCCAAACACCTGCACAGGTGAGGCTGTAACCCCCAAATAACCACACAGGTGAGGCTGTAACCCCCAAATAACCACACAGGTGAGGCTGTAACCCCCAAATAACCACACAGGTGAGGCTGTAACCCCCAAATAACCACACAGGTGAGGCTGTAACCCCCAAACACCTGCCCAGGTGAGGCTGTAACTCCCAAACACCTGCCCAGGTGAGCTCCTGACCCCCAAACACCTGCACAGGTGAGGCTGAAACCCCCAAACACCTGCACAGGTGTGGCTGTACTCCCCAAACACCTGCCCAGGTGAGGCTGTAACCCCCAAACACCTGCCCAGGTGAGGCTGTACCTGGCACAGAACCCCCCAGGTGAGTCCCAGGTGCGCTCACCTGTAGATGTGGACGTCGCGGGTCTGGCCGATGCGGTGACACCTGTCCTGGGCCTGCGCGTCCATGGTGGGGTTCCAGTCCGAGTCGTAGAACACCACGGTGTCGGCCCCGGCCAGGTTGACGCCGACGCCGCCCGAGCGCGTCGACAGGATGAAGCAGAAGATTCGCTTGTCGGCGTTGAAGCGCTCCATCAGCGCCTGCGGGACGCACAGGTGAGGGCGCGGCGCACCTGGCCGGCCAGGGGAGGGGACGGGGAGAGGCTTTGGGGCGTGAAAAACTGGGGGGAAGGAGGGATTGGCACACCTGGGCACACCTGGGCAACCTGGGGCACACCTGGGGCACACCTGGGAGGGACCTTGGGGCACTCAGGAGCTCACCTGAGATACCTGGGGCACACCTGGGAGTGACCCTGGAACACCTGGGAGGGAGCTCAGGGCACTCGGGAGCTCACCCGGGATACCACCTGAGACACCTGGGTCTCATCTGGGAGTGACACTGGAGCACCTGGGAGGGAGCTTGGGGCACTCAGGAGCTCACCTGAGATACCTGGGGCACACCTGAGACACCTGGGGCACACCTGAGACACCTGGGTCTCATCTGGGAGTGACACTGGAGCACCTGGGAGGGAGCTTGGGGCACTCAGGAGCTCACCTGAGATACCTGGGGCACACCTGAGACACCTGGGGCACACCTGAGACACCTGGGTCTCATCTGGGAGTGACACTGGAGCACCTGGGAGGGAGCTTGGGGCACTCAGGAGCTCACCTGAGATACCTGGGGCACACCTGAGACACCTGGGGCACACCTGAGACACCTGGGTCTCATCTGGGAGTGACACTGGAGCACCTGGGAGGGAGCTTGGGGCACTCAGGAGCTCACCTGAGATACCTGGGGCACACCTGAGACACCTGGGGCACACCTGAGACACCTGGGTCTCATCTGGGAGTGACACTGGAGCACCTGGGAGGGAGCTTGGGGCACTCAGGAGCTCACCTGAGATACCTGGGGCACACCTGAGACACCTGGGGCACACCTGAGACACCTGGGTCTCATCTGGGAGTGACACTGGAGCACCTGGGAGGGAGCTTGGGGCACTCAGGAGCTCACCTGAGATACCTGGGGCACACCTGAGACACCTGGGGCACACCTGAGACACCTGGGTCTCATCTGGGAGTGACACTGGAGCACCTGGGAGGGAGCTTGGGGCACTCAGGAGCTCACCTGAGATACCTGGGGCACACCTGAGACACCTGGGGCACACCTGAGACACCTGGGTCTCATCTGGGAGTGACACTGGAGCACCTGGGAGGGAGCTTGGGGCACTCAGGAGCTCACCTGAGATACCTGGGGCACACCTGAGACACCTGGGGCACACCTGAGACACCTGGGTCTCATCTGGGAGTGACACTGGAGCACCTGGGAGGGAGCTTGGGGCACTCAGGAGCTCACCTGAGATACCTGGGGCACACCTGAGACACCTGGGGCACACCTGAGACACCTGGGTCTCATCTGGGAGTGACACTGGAGCACCTGGGAGGGAGCTTGGGGCACTCAGGAGCTCACCTGAGATACCTGGGGCACACCTGAGACACCTGGGGCACACCTGAGACACCTGGGTCTCATCTGGGAGTGACACTGGAGCACCTGGGAGGGAGCTTGGGGCACTCAGGAGCTCACCTGAGATACCTGGGGCACACCTGAGACACCTGGGGCACACCTGAGACACCTGGGTCTCATCTGGGAGTGACACTGGAGCACCTGGGAGGGAGCTTGGGGCACTCAGGAGCTCACCTGAGATACCTGGGGCACACCTGAGACACCTGGGGCACACCTGAGACACCTGGGTCTCATCTGGGAGTGACACTGGAGCACCTGGGAGGGAGCTTGGGGCACTCAGGAGCTCACCTGAGATACCTGGGCACACCTGAGATACCTGAGAGGGACCTTGGGGCACTCAGGAGCTCACCTGGGATACCTGGGGAACACCTGGGGCTCACCTGGGCATACCTGAGATACATGGGGCGCACGTGGGAGTGACCCTGGAGCACCTGTCTGGGAGTGACACTGGAGCACCTGGGAGGGAGCTTGGGGCACTCAGGAGCTCACCTGGGATACCTGGGGAACACCTGGGGCTCACCTGGGCATACCTGAGATACATGGGGCGCACGTGGGAGTGACCCTGGAGCACCTGGGAGGGACCTCGGGGCACTCAGGGGCTCACCTGAGACACCTGGGGCTCACCTGGGCATACCTGAGATACATGGGGCGCACGTGGGAGTGACCCTGGAGCACCTGGGAGGGACCTCGGGGCACTCAGGGGCTCACCTGAGACACCTGGGGCTCACCTGGGCATACCTGAGATACATGGGGCGCACGTGGGAGTGACCCTGGAGCACCTGGGAGGGACCTCGGGGCACTCAGGGGCTCACCTGAGACACCTGGGGCTCACCTGGGCACACCTGGGAGTGGTTTTGGGGCAGGGGGATGCAGGAAAGGGGGGGATGGGCACACCTGGAGCTCATCAGGCATTGCCCATCCATCCCTGCCCCTGTACCCAGGTGTGTGCAGATGTGCCCAGGTGTGTCCCAGGTGTGTCTAACCCTGTTCAGGTGTGTCCCAGGTGTCTCTAACCCCACCCAGGTGTGCCCAGGTGTGTCTGACCCTGCTTAGGTGTGTCCCAGATGTCTCTAACCCTGCCCAGGTGTGCCCAGGTGTGTCTAACCCTGTTCAGGTGTGCCCAGGTGTGTCTCACCTGTCTCTGCTCGACGCGGGTGGAGCCGTCCAGGCGCAGGTAGATGTGCCCGTGGAAGGTGAGGAAGCGCTCCAGCACGTCGAGCATGCGCGTCATCTGCGTGAAGATCAGCACGCGGTGCCCGCCCGCCCGCAGCCGCCGCAGCAGCACGTCCAGCGCCTGCAGCTTACCTGCGCACAGGTGGGACCGGTGAGACACGTGAGGGACAGCTGAGGACAGGTGAGGGACAGGTGGGACAGGTGGGACACGTGAGGGACACCTGGAACAGGTGAGGGACAGGTGAGACAGGTGAGGGACACCTGGAACAGGTGAGGGACAGGTGAGACAGGTGAGGGACACCTGGAACAGGTGAGGGACAGGTGAGGGACAGGTGAGAGACACCTGGGACAGGTGAGGGACAGGTGAGAAACACCTGGGGCAAGTGAGGGACACCTGGGACAGGTAGGATACAGACAGGAGGAAAAGGAAAGGAGGGACAGGTGAGGGACAGGTGAGGGACTGGGATGGCAGCAGGAGACACTGAAATGGCGGCAGGGACAGGTGAGAAACACCTGGGGCAGGTAAGGGACAGGTGGGATGGGAAAGGTGAGGGACAGGTGAGACACTGGGATGGCAGCAGGGACAGATGAGACAGGTGAGGGACAGGCCAGGTGGGTGGGACAGGTGAGGGACAGGTGAGGGACAGACAAGTGTGACAGGTGAGGGACAGGTGAGGGGCAGGTGAGGGACAGGTGAGGGTTGCAGAATTGGGGGCGGGGTCCCTTCAGCACCCCCCGTCCCTGATGTCCCCACGTGTGCCCCTGACCCCTCCTGCGACCCCCAGACCCAAAATGTCCCCAGTGTCCCCAATGTCCCTGATCCCCCCAATGTCCCCAATCCCCCCAATGTCCCCAAGACCCCCAAAGTCTCCAATGTCCTCCTGACTCCTCCTGTGCTCGTGTAACCCCCCAGACCCAAAACAACCCCAGTGTCCCCAATGTCCCCAGTGTCCCTGATCCCCCCGAACCCCCCCACTTCCTCC